TTATTCTGTAGAAAAAATACAATATAAAATCAGAGGTGCACTTACATAACATCAGGTTTGGATAACTATGTGCATTGGAAGTAGGCTTAAAGATTCCAGAAAATAAATTTTAGCATTGTGGAGAAATGTCTAACAGACTACTGGAACATTATCTAAAACAGTGATGTTAGAAACAAAATATGATTACAACCAAGATTTGACTGTGAATAGGAAGTTGTTATACATATTGGACATAATCTTACTGAAGCCTACATATTGGACATAACCTTACTGAAACCTACATATAAGTCATAAATAACCATCCACCGCCTAAGTAAGACAGAGAGGAGCAACACTTAGGGGCCAGCCAGATGCTTAGAGCCTTTGCAAGAATATCCTCTCACAAAAAAAGACAACCTTCCCTTACAAGTTTTCAAGGTGCAATGAGTGTCCGCCGAGGAGCACCACTGGGGTGCTTCGTACGTGTCAAGTGACCTAATGTAACTTTCCTATTGGCTAATGTAACTTTCCTATTGGTCAGTTAGTGTTACATGTGTTACGTCCCTTGACCTCTGGGTATGGTTCCTCTGTTGCAGAGGTTAGAAAATATATGATAAAACGGCCTTGCCTACTTAAGTGTCTAGGGGAAATAAATGAAGCCACCGTTTATTTAACAAAGCAATATACTTACAGTAAGGGTAACAAGAACATACCAATATATAAATGGAAATACAGGCAGCCAGAAATATTAATGCATCAGAATACAACAAAATCCTTATACAAACACTGAGAAATATATTACAACTTAAATGGATAGATGGGTAATACACATAATGGTCTAACCAGGAAATCAACTAATGTTACTGAACAATAACAGAGACACAGACTTAACTCCACAACATGACCACGCCAGCCAGTTCCACCCTCGCGACTGCGTTGCTCGAGCCTGCACGGCGTGGCGTCCACAAGTTACCAACAAAAAAAACCACAAAACCCTCTAGATACTCTGCTATCAGAGAGTAATACTAAAGAACATAATTATAACTAGCTTATATGTATATAACATTGCTAATGTGTAAATAAGAAATTAAGTACAACCAGTAAACAGAAATAATTACAAGGGTGAATCATTGACTCTAGCTGGATACACTGCACGCATTACTGGAACATGCCAAATATGGTCATCCTCCCCATGAGATGCCCCAGTCTCCCTCCACAGGAATTAACATGCAATAGCATTAACAAATATTCAATACAGGCACACTACTGCATGCTACATTTAAATCAAACATATATATACTGGAACATAACTGGATACAATGTTTATTTAAATAACTTAGGAAAGAAAATAATTGACTTACATATTTATGATGAATGTTAGAATCAAATATATGGATTCGTAACAACATGCTACAAGGCAACTGACCTGCCTTCATCTGGGATATCTGGTGTCTTCACCTACCGCCTCTGATATCAAATTTGCTCCCCCATGATAATGCTCTTTTCATGCTACATGTTGAATATGTCTGACTAGACAGTCCTCTAAAATTTATATTTGTGTGTCAAGCAGACGGTCTCTGGAACAGCTGAAAGTGCTTAAATTCAAATCCACGTCTTACATTGTTCCACCATGAACAATGAAAGGATTTTTTTCCATAAACAAGCAGCCTAGTGTGCATCTGAAAGTCCATTGTTGTTCTATTGGAAAGCCTACTATATGTTCTTTATAAAGGCAAGGAGTAATGAGGGATATTACTAAAGTATGCAAGTGGATGAAAGGCTAACGTTAATAGTGTTCTAAATAAATCAACACAAAATAGAACACACTAAATTTTATACAAACTGGATAAGTTTAGAATTGAGAATATAGTCAAATATTTATTTGGATGCATACTTGTGAATTACTTTATGATTTATGGAACAAAGTACCGGGTAACAGATTGTAGGTTAGACACATGCGAATTAGTTTGAGTTGGGATAAATAGGAGCAGACTCGTGTGCAGGAATAGACTTTCTGTCGTTTCCTGTTCACATGCTGATGCTGTATATGACCACTCGTATGATTGCAGGTTAGAAATTATACTCAAATATGCCAGGTTCCAAAAAACACTGCTTTAATAGGCAATATTAAAGAAGAGAGTAAAGTCTCGTGACACAAAATAGAACGCAGAACAATGGATACAACTTGGACACTTTAACTGTAGAATATCATCCAATGTTATACAAGATATTAGCATATAAAGGAATTATAGGCTTATAACCATATGCCACTGGTACAAGAAACCACGTGGTTCAGTTTGTCTATATAGATATAGTACAGGAACCACTGGTTTCATATTACTAAATACAGAAAAAAACATGAGGCTTCCTTCCACAAATATTTTGCAATCACAGCTATTAACAACGTCACAAACGTCCGGAACAGCTCTCAAATCGTGAGAAAATCCACATTTTGTATAATAAATATGTATAACCAATATCAAACCAACGTAATATAATCCCTGAAAAGTGTTAATTTAGGTGCACACACACTTTATTAAATTAATTTAGGATAGAGATCGTGAAATAGTTTTTTCTACACCATGATGGACAACGGTGACAGTGGCGTGGCCTCAGTGTGGGTTGTGACAGGTTGTGGTATTACAGCTATACTGAACCAAGATGGTATGGCTCTCCATCTTATCTTTAAGTTATCTTGAGATGATTTCGGGGCTTAGTGTCCCCGCGGCCTGTCCTCGACCAGGCCTCCACCCCCAGAAAGCAGCCCGTAGCAGCTGTCTAACTCCCAGGTTCCTATTTATTGCTAGGTAACAGGGGCATCAGGCTGAAAAAAACATTTTGCCCATTTGTCTCTGCCTCCACCGGGCATCGAACCCGGAACCTAAGGACTACGAATCCGAAGTGCTGTTCAACAAGCTGTCAGGCGCGCCAAATACAAAATCCATCAAACAATTAATAACAAAAATGCTGCTATTGGTCCTGTTGTGTGTAAGTCGCAGGTGGAAACAAATGAAAATCATCAAATAAATAATTAAAACAATTTACTGAAATAGTAATGAACAAAAATGGCACCTGAAAAACTTGGCTAATATTATATAACAAATCAAATAAATGAAAGTTTAACTCTAATGCAATACAAGATTATACTGGTGGTGCTGAAGACAAGTGTATATCACCACAGCATCCAGCATACGACGTTGGCTGAAGGTAGACGGCGTTGCAGGAGGCGAAAGGTGACCCCCGAGCACTAAGAGAGAGAGAGAGAGAGAGACTGCCTCTCCAGAGTTGTTGTTGTTGTTGAAGATTCGCTACCTGGAACTAAAAGATCCAAGTAGCACTGGCTATGGTGAGCCCGTAGTGGCCTCTCCAGGGAGGCGGTGCCCTTTATATAGTCCGGCGGTGATGACTCATCCGGTGTCAATGCAAGGTGGTCATCTGGTCAACTAGCAAACTGCTCGTTTGTGGCTGGCGGCGCCTTTGTGTTGAGCTGCACCACTGCCAGTTGAAGGTGGCTAACTGCTTGTTGATGGGGGCAAACTACCGGTTAGCAGAGGCACCCAGCTTGCCTCCGAGTCATGCCAGGCCGTGCCAGGCCCTGGAGGGTACGGAGAGGTGGCAGGACTGACGACTCATCTGGGCTGGTGTAGATGTAGACTTCCAGTACAGAGGCATTGAAGGTGAGGGGGAAAAGGCAGTTTCACTGTTATGCAGGGGAGTCCTGTGACAGGGTATAACAATTGCCTGAAGCACTGAACTTTAGAAGCTAAAGTACTGCTTGAGTGCTTCATACGCACTCACAACCACTGTGTTGTCTTTCAATTTAGTGGCACAAGACTGTTCTTTAATAATGGATAAAAAACCATTAGTGAATTTACAGTGAGGAAGAGAAAGTGAGAATGGCTTGGTGCCTTTAACACTTCTCTCTCCGTCACGACCACACACAGAACCAATAAAAGATACCATGGCTCCCCACCTAATGTTATTGGATAAGTCTTTTGTAGTTACTAGACTTGAGCACCCCGGACTTCATTATCAACGTCACTATAAAGGCGGTTTGTGGTAACGTATTTGAAGTGGATAGATTTTCAAGCGTGTGCCGTTAACTCCTTTTGTTAGAGCTGGGCTACAAGATGTGCTCATTGAGAGGGCGATCACGCCATCTATACATTGTGTGATAAGCCAAACAAATTAAATATTTGCTGCTTGCAACTCATAAATATTTTTACATGAACTTAAATCGTGCTAAAGATTTCAACTTGGTTATTTGTAGCTTACATAATTTTGTTTGGGATATTTAGAGTGTCAATACCTTCATTTTGCTGCACTTACATTTTTTCTCTTGATCTTTATTACTAAGAACTAATGGGGGAATACTTCACAGGCTGGTGACAGCAGCAGCCCATGAACAATGTAAGACCCTTATAACCCGTACCATCTTAGTCCACGACAGACCGGTCCTGGCATCCTCAACCACACCAGCTAAGCCATTTCTTTTATTTAATATGTTTAACATTATATTTATTTTTGTATAATTTAAAAAATATTTGGGGTTATTTATGGATAATTGACCCATATTTACACTGGGAAAGACCTGGGTAAATACCGGTTTGCAAACAGTGTTGTTGACTTGTGGAACAGATTACCGGATAACATAAGACATTGAATACCTTGATTGTATCTATCCTAGATTAGACATGTATGAACGAGTTTAGGTGGATATAAATAGGAGCTACAACATATGCACAAATAGGACTTTTGCAGTTTCTTCAGGAGTTAAGTTCTAAGTGAACTCGGTAATCCCACAACTGTTTAATTACCTCAACATGACAGAAGCGTTTAGGTACGTTGGCTTTCACCTGCTTCAACTGTTCTATCATTCCGACAGCTGCTCTTTGTGGCATACTGGTGGTCAGTGGGTGGTCTATTGACCTCGATTATCCTAACATGTTCCGTATGTGAGAGCAAGAACACTGACCATACTTTACTGAGAGACGGTGAGTAACGTGTCACTCCTCCTGCAGGACGCCCTGAAGATGGCCCTCACCGCAGGCGACCGTCCCACCCACGCCCGCTGCCTCACCATCCTTGCTGACATCCACCGCCAGTGTCTTGACGTCCAGGTCAGTCTCACTCTCTCACCATTACACTCACCTTCCTTCCCAACCACTTGGACCGGACGCTATTGCGACGGTCTCGCTTCTTGCAGGTCGGCGTTCAATACCCGACCGTCCAAGTGGTTAGGCACCATTCCTCTCCTTCGTCCTATCCTAAACCCTTCCAAGTGCTATATTGTCGTATTGGCTTAGTACTTTCTGCTGATAATTACCGTACCTCACGTTTCTTCTTTGCTGATGTGATATTTTGCTAATAATTTGATTTATTAGATTACGTTCTTAACTGATTAACCAAAGACTTAAAGTCAATCAAAAATAATTCCAAATTCTTATTACCGTAACTCCTTAGTGTTAATGTTTTGTCACGTATCAAGAATGTGATGTCAAATGTTGGTAATATCTCATATTTTATTACATATCTTAAGGTTTTTATCTTGTGTTAAGAAGAGAGATCACTCACCAACTCTGGTCTCCAGGGGGCGGCCCTCCAGAGTTACCAGACCATAACTCTGGTCTCCAGGGGGCGGCCCTCCAGAGTTACCAGACCATATTTTCATTGTGCTTCCCATATTGTACAACTGTTTTAAGTTTACCTTAAAGCAGCCCGCTGTTGTATACAATAAACGAGTGACTTTTATAAACTAAAAAGATAAAAAATCAATGCCCTATAATATTTAACCAGAGTATAAATAATAATATCTGTAAGGACATGCCAGGGGGCACTTTTTGAGGGGGCTAATGAATGATATAGAATAAAGTAAGTGGATAAATGGGGATACATTATTCCGGGGCGATGGGATGCATGGCAACAATCTTTATGTTGCCATGCACCATCCTGTGGTGCATGGCAACAATCTTTATGTTGCCATGCACCATCCTGTGGTGCATGGCTACAATCTTTATGTTGCCATGCACCATCCTGTGGTGCATGGCAACAATCTTTATGTTGCCATGCACCATCCTGTGGTGCATGGCAACAATCATTATGTTGCCATGCACCATCCTGTGGTGCATGGCAACAATCTTTATGTTGCCATGCACCATCCTGTGGTGCATGGCAACAATCATTATGTTGCCATGCACCATCCTGTGGTGCATGGCAACAATCACTATCAAGCACCTGTGATGCATGGCTACAATCACTATCAAGCACCTGTGGTGCATGGCAACAATCACTATCAAGCACCTGTGGTGCATGGCAACAATCTTTATCAAGCACCTGTGGTGCATGGCTACAATCTTTATCAAGCACCTGTGATGCATGGCTACAATCTTTATCAAGCACCTGTGATGCATGGCTACAATCTTTATCAAGCACCTGTGATGCATGGCTACAATCTTTATCAAGCACCTGTGATGCATGGCAACAATCTTTATCAAGCACCTGTGGTGCATGGCAACAATCTTTATCAAGCACCTGTGATGCATGGCTACAATCTTTATCAAGCACCTGTGGTGCATGGCTACAATCTTTATCAAGCACCTGTGATGCATGGCAACAATCTTTATCAAGCACCTGTGATGCATGGCTACAATCTTTATCAAGCACCTGTGATGCATGGCTACAATCTTTATCAAGCACCTGTGGTGCATGGCTACAATCTTTATCAAGCACCTGTGATGCATGGCTACAATCTTTATCAAGCACCTGTGATGCATGGCTACAATCTTTATCAAGCACCTGTGGTGCATGGCAACAATCACTATCAAGCACCTGTGGTGCATGGCTACAATCTTTATCAAGCACCTGTGGTGCATGGCTACAATCACTATCAAGCACCTGTGGTGCATGGCAACAATCACTATCAAGCACCTGGGGTGCATGGCAACAATCACTATCAAGCACCTGTGGTGCATGGCAACAATCACTATCAAGCACCTGTGGTGCATGGCAACAATCACTATCAAGCACCTGTGGTGCATGGCAACAATCACTATCAAGCACCTGGGGTGCATGGCAACAATCACTATCAAGCACCTGGGGTGCATGGCAACAATCACTCTCAAGCACCTGTGGTGCATGGCAACAATCACTATCAAGCACCTGGGGTGCATGGCAACAATCACTATCAAGCACCTGTGGTGCATGGCAACAATCACCATCAAGCACCTGTGGTGCATGGCAACAATCACCATCAAGCACCTGTGGTGCATGGCAAGAATCACTCTCAAGCACCTGGGGTGCATGGCAACAATCACTCTCAAGCACCTGTGGTGCATGGCAACAATCGCGTGAAGGGAATACTTGTCACCACACAACACCTGAGTGTCCCGCTGACTATGGAGGGGCCATTGGTCGCTCGAGAGCTCTGGTGATCATTTACAGTATTCGAGAAAGTCCTGAGAGCCTTAGTGTCTTCCTGGGGTTAAGTGGGTGCCACCGTGTGCCTCCATCATCACCTTCCTGGCCCCGAGTCCACAGCGGGACCTTCCCAGGGACCTCTGACGCTGTGTGAAGTTGTGCCCACTTTGAAGCACTTAGTAATGAAGAGGAATATATTATAAGCAACTATATTGAACATTATCCCTAAAAATATGCGATAAGGTATTCTTAAAGCAATAGAAGTGAGACTGAGGAGTGAGAAGTGATTGGCAATGCTTATGATGCTATCACACTCTTGAGTTGCAAATTGGGGCACCAAGAGTCACCTCTCATGGCTTCATTCTGTATTACGTGTTCACAATAGAGGGCGGAGAGGGGTAATTAGGTACAAGGCACGATCATCAACTAGGGATCTAATAAACATGGTGTAAAATGGTCTAGCATTGTTTAACACTAGATAGAGTACCCAGTGGTGCCAGGGTCTCTGTATCTCTCTCTCTCTTATGAACCATATGTACCTAACAGGCACACAGCCACCATGTTGTTACAATGTTGTGGATACGTTGTATACGGTGGACAGCTGATAAGTCTGGGGAACATACTCTATAGAAAACCAAACCACCTTTTCAGGCTTAATAAGAGTGGTTGGTTGTCACAACAGGAACCAATCCTACTTAGGGAGGGGGCATGAGGGTCGATCCCGACCCACCAATGACACTCTACAATTATAAATCACCATGCTAAGTTGTGTGAGCTAAACGCGTACGTCTGGCATCCAATCTCAGACAGAAAGATCTGTCTGAGATTGGATGTCAGAAAGATCTACAATTTTATTAATAAAGATAGACTGATGCCAATAGATTTACCAGCAAGACATTTCAGTGGTTAGAATCTCTCTTTCAACCCCCATGATGAAGGTTGTTCACCTCTCCCCAAGGTTTTGTGCTGCCTACATGTTTCAATGTACTGCTTGTTGACGTTGAAAGCAAAGGGAACACTTATTCTTTTGTGGGGACGAAGAGCTCTGGAATTTTTGTATAGAGATAATAAGACCGAATCCAATGCTTTTCGTATCAAACGATTCAAGTAGAGCATGCAATTGAGTTTGAAAAGTTATTATAACAGTAAAGAAAGTCAGATTGAGGACGAGAGTGTGTGGGGGACTTCACACAAAGTCGTTCTGTCCACACAGGTTCTCAGTGGCCACTTGGAGCACATTTCATATCGCAAAATATAATTCTAATGAAAGGCAAGGTAATTCCGAGGAGAGAGCACTATACTATTACAACTGTATAACACTTAGAAGGGATGATGATAAGAATTTGGGGTGAGAAAGGGAGGGGGGGAAGAATGGTGCTCAACCATTTGGATGGTCGGGGATTGAACGCCGACCTGCATGAAGCGAGACCGTCACTCTACCGTCCAGTCCCGTGCGACATTATGACGCTGTGTGACCTTATTGCTGGTGGTGGGTAGTGTGTTTACATGGTAGTAGTGGAGTACTTCTCATTGGTCGTGTTGCAAGCACTATACTTACGTCAGTGGTCGTGTTGCAAGCACTATACTTACGTCATTGGTCGTGTTGCAAGCACTATACTTACGTCAGTGGTCGTGTTGCAAGCACTATACTTACGTCAGTGGTCATGTTGCAAGCACTATACTTACATCAGTGGTCGTGTTGCAAGCACTATACTTACATCAGTGGTCGTGTTGCAAGCACTATACTTACATCAGTGGTCGTGTTGCAAGCACTATACTTACATCAGTGATCGTGTTGCAAGCACTATACTTACATCAGTGGTCGTGTTGCAAGCACTATACTTACATCAGTGGTCGTGTTGCAAGCACTATACTTACATCAGTGGTCGTGTTGCAAGCACTATACTTACATCAGTGATCGTGTTGCAAGCACTATACTTACATCAGTGATCGTGTTGCAAGCACTATACTTACATCAGTGGTCGTGTTGCAAGCACTATACTTACATCAGTGATCGTGTTGCAAGCACTATACAGTACTTGCATCAGAGGTCAACACAGGATCCTCACGGGGGAGATGAAACAAGGAGAGGAAGATCTGTGGACTATTCAAGCACCTCCTGTGGCAGCCTACCAAGGAGCCGACTAGAGAAGGTGGAGGTGTGATCTACCAGCTTCCCTAGACTCGGTGTTGACCTAAAATAAAGAAAATGAACATAATTTAAAATATGAAGTACAACCAGAACCAGAGACACCTTCGTTATCGTGCTCGACTACGCTATAGAACTGAAAGAGACACTTGAATAAAAAGTCAAGGAGCAAGACAGAAGAGGAGACTACAGAAGGTTTAGGGATTATCAGCTAGAGATTCATTTGGAGATCGAAATGAAAAGACAGTCAGAAAATAAGCTGATATAAAGCAAAGAAGCAATGGAACAGTTCCCACCTCGCAGGAGGAAAGTGGACGAAAAGAGGATGAGAAACCCATGGCTCAACAGACAGTGGAAGGAGAAAAAGTAGAAGACATAATAGGCATGGAAACAGTACAAGGACATAGGGACAGACGGAAATAGGGAGTCACTGAAGAGAGCCAGGAATGTTTACACAAGAATCAGAAGGGCAGCAGAGCAGCAGTTTAACATTGCAGGAAAAGCAGAGTCAGGTTATCTTAAGATGATTTCGGGGCTTAGCGTCCCCGCGGCCCG